GCACGGGTTTCTCGGCCCAAGAGGCTGAGCTGACACAGGTCCTTGCACAAGGGTCCGTTCTCCTTCTCACACGAGGGTCCTTGCACGCCCACGAGGGTCCTTGCACACGTTTCTCAACCCAAGAGGTTGAGCTGACACAGGTCCTCGCACAAGGGTCCTTCCTCCTCCTCGCACGAGAGTCCTTGCATGCTCATCTCACACAAAGCTCCCTCCTTGCACCAGGGTCGTCCTTCCTCACGTGAGAGTCCTTGCACACTCATCTCGTCACACGAGGCTCCTTCCTTGCACCAGGGTCCTTCCTCGCATGAGGGTCCTTGCACACTCATCTCCTTGCACGAGGCTCCTTCCTCCTCCCACAGCCATCCTTGCACGCCCACCATCTCACACGAGGCTCCTTCCTCGCACGAGGGTCCTCGCACACCCCTCCCCTCGCACGAGGGTCCTTGCACACCCCTCCCCTCGCACGAGGGGGTCCCCACGCCAGGGTCTTGCAGCTCCAGCTCCTCGCATGAGGCTCCTTCCCCCTCCTCCTCCTCGCACGAGGCCCCTCGCACAGCCCCCCCCTCGCACGAGGGCCCTCGCACGCTCGCCAGCTGGTGGTGGCGGCGCAGGAAGCACGCCTGGGCGTAGGGGGGGGCGATGGGGGGTGCGGGGGGGGGCACATAGCTGTAGGGCTTCTCTGGGTCCAGCTGTGGGGGGGGAGAGGAACTCCCAGTGCCTCCCAGTATAGCCCAGTACCTGCTGGAGGCTGAGGATGCCTTCAGGCCCCCCATGCCCCCCCCCAGTACCTGTAGGTAAAGGGTCTCCCAGTCTATCCCAGTAGCCTCAATAGCTGCAACAGGCTCATAGGAGCTCCTCGCCCAGTATTCTCCCAGTATATCCCAGTTCCCCCCAGCAACAGTAGGGAGTAGACACAGGTTCTCCCAGTATATCCCAATACCACCCCATAGCTACAAGAAGCAGATAAAGGGTTTCTCAAGACCCTCCCAGTATATCCCAGTGCCCCCTGTGCAAAACGTAGGCAGGGGATCCTATAAGGACCCATGTCTCCCAGTATATCCCAGTGGCGCTCCATACCTACGAGAGGCAAAGGGTCTCCCAAAGCCCTCCCTGTTCATTCCAGACCTCGCAGGAGGCTCTAAGGGGTCCTATGGCTTCCCCAGTGCCCCCCAGTCTATCCCAGTGCCTCCCAGTACCTGCAGGGGGTAGGTGCGGTCGGGGTCGTAGGCGCTCAGGTCCCCACAAGCCACGAAGGGGACGATCACCCGGGAGGGTCCCGAGAGCTGGGACAGGGCCAGGCCTGGGGGGGAGGGGGCATTAGGGATGATGGGGGGGTCCCCAAAACCCCCCCAAGGACCC